GGGGTGGAGTAAGGAGGTGGGGTGGGGACACACCCGGAGGGAGGGGGGCTGCTACAGCTACCGCATTGAGAGTGAAACGCCCTTGAACCCGTCCGTCGTACAAAATAGGCCAGACTATACACACTGGAGAGAAACCGGACAGAAATAATCAGCGAAAGAAAGAAACGCAAAATCAACGAGACTCCAAACGCGATGTAATAAGTCTTTGTCAGGTCCGCTGAGCCGCTCCAATTAGCCTGACGTGCGTCGCGCACCCCGGCCGTGCGGTGCGTGTGTCTCGGCCGGCCGCGGCACGTCGGGCGCCGTCGGGCGCCGTCAGGCCCGATCGTAATAAGAATAATGACAATAATCATAACATTTTCTCCCCTTTTACGAGTCCGGCGAGTCCCGGCTGCGTGCGCCCAGGGGTGGCGTTGGCGTTATCCGGACGCCTCCCATGGACTGGAGTGAACTGACCACGGGCTGGACACAGGGCTGGACGGCCGGACGAGCGGAAGTCATCGCTCGCGCTATTCGGGCGCGTCCCGCCCCTTCGCTCACGCTTTACGGCCCCACGCCCTCCCCGGCCTGCGCTGGCGCTAGAGCTGGCGCCAGGAGGGGTGCGGCGGCCTTGGCGCCCAGCGGGCAGCCCACGCGAAGTCGCCTTCCACCCTCGTCATTTTCTTTGCTGTTCGGCGTCGACGAAATTTGGTGTCCCTGTCCGCCGCGCATCGCAAAAGCTTCTCGCAAAGGTGCTTTTTCGTTTTTCTGCGACCGGACCGCTTACCGCGCGCTCCGCGGAATAAGGGATTCCCCTTCCCGCGAGGCACGAGTCGAGTATAAGTGTAATTCTTAATGGGTGTGTGAGGGAAGCCGACGACTAGGAGGGCCCGATGGAAAGAAAGTAGCAGCCGACACGACAGCGCGGGTGGGAGGCCAGCTCTGTAATGGAGTAATAGTTGGTGGGCGAATGTGTGTGTGTGTGTGTGTGTGTGTGTGTGTGTGTGTGTGTGTGCTGGCTGGAGCAGGAGGAGGCGGTGGGAGTAGGCGGCAGGAGATGTGTCGATCTGTCACCAGAGCCCGGCGAGATGATACCCTAGGGCGGCCCAGGAGGTGCCCGGGCGGGGTCCTCGTGAGCTAGGCCCAGCGATGTCGACATGCTCGCTGGGCGTGACGGGACGGGCCGCTCCTCCGGCCCCGCGCGGCTCCGGTATGGTATAAATGTATGAGCCTTCATATGTACCGACGAGACCCGCCTAAACCATACGGCAAAGTTTTTCAGAATAGGAAGAGAAAAAGTAGTGCTTACGGTGCTTACGGTGCGAGCGGAGTCGGCGACCCGCTCACACGAGTGCCAATCAGCTGCCTGGCATAAATGCGACGTTTGAAGACTGGGGCAGCGCAGCGCGAACAGTAAATCACACACAAGTCGTGGAGACGAGTTGAACATTTCTTCTGATGCCACACACCGGCCCTATTGAAGCGGTGGTGTCCGTCTATAAATATACTTCCCATCAGAAAGATCTATGTTTCTGTGCCGTTTTTCTAGCGCGCAGGCGGGCGAGTAAACGAACGATGATGATGATTCTGACACAATGGCCGCAGCGCCGCCAGCGCCGTGTCTCCCTTCCCTTCGTTTAATTGGACTGGGTGATGTACTTGCTGTACGGGCGAGGTAACGAGACGCGCCCGCTGCACCGACACCGCCCGCCACACCATGCCCGTATAAGTGCCAATCCCCCCCGCCCAGTCCGAGATGAACACGCCTTTCCTGCATGCGTTCTGCGGTTGTTTGTAAATGACCGTCGGCCAGCCGTCGCCGCATCTCTGCGTCTGGCCCGTCTGGTCCTGACCGCGCCGCACTGGGACGGCTATGGGACTGCCGGAGCGCACTTGGGGTTTAAAGTTAAATAGTTCGGCCGCCCATCTGGCCTGGCGCAGCGCGCAGCCATGGCTTATTTGGCTCGCTTCTGGGCCTCGTTCACTGGCGCGGGCGTACCGGGCGGGGCGGTGCCGCCGGGGACACTAAAGCAGCCCAAGCGCCCAACCCAGCCCTTGGGCGTGGCCGTTGCCGTTGTGCTTGAGTCGGTGGCGGCGGGGGTCTCGCGAGGACGGCGCTGACGTGCCCGTCCCGGCGCCCGGTAGCCGGCCCTGACTCGAGGCACCTTCCCGCGTCCTGCTGCCGGTCCTGGCGGGTGCTCAGCGAGCTCTCCGTACGCGGCCCGGGCCCGTCCCCGGGGGCGTGGCGCGGCCAGTGCCGCTCCGGTGCGCCTCGAGCGAGTCGCGCCCATAAGGGGCCCGTCTCCGCCCCGGCGGCACCGCGCCCCGCCTCTTAGCACCTGGGCCGGGCGACTCCCTGATAGCCCACCTTCCCCACAATAACATATATCGTACAGGACTAGATGATGGGGCTGGCGCCTGTGCAGGGCTTAGGGTAACACAGAATATTTACACCAATGCCACTCCTGCTGCCAGGCGCACCTATATTTATTTTTATTCTGTTTTGTGTGTGCCTGGCACGGGGCGAGCTGCGGGGGGCGGACGCGTTTTCCGTAGTTCTGCGCAACTCCCCCCCCCCCTTGGAGTAAAATGTCCCGCGGAGACAAGCGACAGCCCATCATAAGCCTCATACTGCTACGGGGCTGACTCGTCGTGCGACATTGAAAATATAACGACTTCTCATTTATTTTTGTTAAGTTTTGTTTTCTGTGGAAGCATTCTTCCTTTTTTAGCCCATCAGCCAAACAGTGAGAAAGGCGTTTAAATTTCCGTTCTTAGCCTATTGCTTTGAAAAAGCAATAAAGCGGGCCGATGCAATCGATCAGCTGCGTGTCTTACGCCTGTCTGTGCCACTAGAGGCAGATATGCTAGAGACTTTTTCATTCATCTACCCAAAATAACTCAATATCAATAATATTTTGAAAACTCTTGTGCAGGATTCTGTAAGGGGTAACTCGTGCAAATAGAACCCCTTGATACCGGCTGGTTACGATATCGTGTCCAAACCGATCCAGACTCAGTTCTGCACACTAAAGTTCGGTGCAGTTAAAATTATTGCATCCTCGGACATTTACAGTGTAGATGATGCCGCCCGTAACACAGGTGGATGAGCTCTCCTGGGCAGACGAGCGCCTGCCAGGCCCGAGGTAGGCATTCCCGCATTACAGGTGTGTCCAACGGGCGTGCCTACCCAGCAGGCGCCTGCGCAGGACGGGCTCTTCTGAACGTCCCCGTTTGCGGCCACAAATCGGTCGACCAGAGTCAGTACAATCTGGCTCGACTTTAGAAGATCCTTTTTAGGGCAACATGCAATCCGCCCCCCCCTCCCCCCTGGAAGCGTTGGATTTCGCATTGGTCGAAAAAGGATCTTCTTTAGTCCGCTATAGTCGGGTCGGATTAGACTGACTCTGACCGCCGGATTCCTGTAGCGACAAACAGGGACGTGACTCAGAGATTGGCTGAGTTCAGGAGCCGAAATCCGCACGACACCGGTCGGAAGTGAGAAAGATCGTTTGGCGAAAGGGCGGGCGTGCTTGTTACACCCAGAAAAATCGTTTCTTGTCCCAAGTACATTATTCCTTGTTTCAAGTACACGCTGACACAAGATCAAATTTACTCTTGAAACAAGCTGATATTTCCTTTCGAATAAGAGAAAAATCTTATTTCAAAGACAATATTGCCTTGTTTCAATGGTGAATTCCATCTTGTGTCAGCTTGCACTTGAATCAAGAAACTATTTTTCTGGGTGTACGTATCCCGTTTAACATACCGCCTGTGACCTGGATGGTTCAAAAGAATGGTCCCAATGGTCATGCAAATATGAATAAGTATTTCCTCCTTCCGAGTGGCGGCGCCACCGAATGGCCAGCTGACCCCGCGCCCCGCGCCCCGAGCGCTGGTGGTGGGCGCGGGGCCGGCGCACGGCGCCACTGCGGGCGCCACTGCATAGCTGTGGTCGGGCCTCTTACCTCCCCGCTGCTACTGCTCTCTGGGCCAACGATCCCGACCTGATAAGAAAGCGCGTTCCCTCTCTATCTGTATCTCAGGTAGCGCCTCTCTCCCTCTCGCTCTAGGGTCGATAAGCCAGCCGTAATGTCAGCAGGAGGTGCAGTGGACGGACACCCCATCAGGACCCTTGCGGAGCGGACAAGGGGGGGGGGGGCAGAGAAGAGTAACCGGGCCGGGCAGTGAAAAGGTTCTTTCAACTGTTATGCTATACGTTGTTACTCGTACACGGCAGTGTTAAGTACTCTCGAGATAAGCGCCCGTGTCGGCTCGTTCCCTAGTCGTTCCAGAGAATAGGGGTGGGGGGTCGGAACGCTCCGCGTGTCCTTTGGCAATACTTACCGCAGGGTACTTACTTCCACGACAAAGTTGCTAGGGTTATGCCCGAAGCCCGCTTAGACCACTGTGAACTTGACTTTGTGTGATCTGACCACGACCACGGCACCGTCTGCTTGCAGAGGGAGTGCATCTCTGTCCACATCGGCCAGGCGGGCGTGCAGATCGGCAATGCCTGCTGGGAGCTGTATTGCCTGGAGCACGGCATCCAGCCCGACGGTCAGATGCCCTCCGACAAGACCCTGGGCGGCGGCGACGACTCCTTCAACACCTTCTTCAGCGAGACGGGCGCCGGCAAGCACGTGCCGCGAGCCGTGTTCGTCGACCTGGAGCCCACCGTGGTGGACGAGGTGCGCACCGGCACCTACCGCCAGCTGTTCCACCCGGAGCAGCTCATCACGGGCAAGGAGGACGCCGCCAACAACTATGCCCGCGGCCACTACACCATCGGCAAGGAGATCGTGGACCTGGTGCTGGACCGCATCCGCAAGCTGGCGGACCAGTGCACCGGGCTCCAGGGCTTCCTCATCTTCCACTCGTTCGGCGGCGGCACCGGCTCCGGCTTCACCTCCCTGCTCATGGAGCGCCTGTCCGTGGACTTTGGAAAGAAGTCCAAGCTCGAGTTCTCCATCTACCCTGCCCCTCAGGTAAAGTACACCCAGCAAATCATTTCCTTTGAAAAAACATTGTTAAATTGGTATCTTGTTTCAAAGATGTTTCCTTCCTTTACAGACCAAAATTCTTTAAGTATAACATAAGTCTTTAGATTACGGCAACTTGTTCCTTAAATGAAGAAAATAATCGTTATGTTCCTATTTAAGGAAGTTTCCTTCATTCCGAGGGGAATAAAGACAAGGAAATTACTTTGTTTGAGGGAAACTATTTTCTATGTGTAGTCCACTAGCTCAGCCCTGTCAATGAAAATGAAGCTTCGAGTCACTTCAATATCAATGTCGAACATGGAAAAATAGGAATTATTCGACATTGTTTCGACAATCATTTCTCACTGTTGTCTGCAGGTATCCACAGCGGTAGTCGAGCCGTACAACTCCATCCTGACCACGCACACCACGCTGGAGCACTCGGACTGCGCCTTCATGGTGGACAACGAGGCCATCTACGACATTTGCCGCCGCAACCTAGACATCGAGCGCCCGACCTACACCAACCTCAACCGCCTCATCGGCCAGATCGTGTCCTCCATCACGGCCTCGCTGCGCTTCGACGGCGCGCTCAACGTGGACCTCACCGAGTTCCAGACCAACCTGGTGCCCTACCCGCGCATCCACTTCCCGCTGGGTGAGTGGCTCGCTGCGCCCCGCCCCCGCACTGCACCAGCAAGCACGCGATCGGTATGCAAACATCGGCGCCGGGCAGTGCTGGGCAGGGGCAAAAACCACCCCGAGATGGGCCCCGAGATACGGCATACGCTCGGCCATACGGAGCTGTTTGGGGAAAGGGTTTCCGCTAAAATTACAACAAGACGGCCTGTTTGCACTGAAACAAGTGCCGAGGCGGTGCTGGCCGAGGATGAGCTCGTCAGGTCAGCCTCGACATGCATGTGTGCGAGAGGCTCTCGAGGGACTCGCGTGGGGCAGTCGGGGCGTGCTGCGAGGGCTGCGACGGACAGGGAGGACTTGAACGCACGCTCGGATGGCGCGGAAGTTCACATGATGAGAATACCGTTTATTTGCTGGAATTCAGTTTTTATTAACAATACATAAGTGTCCATGACTTTCTTTCGCAGCTACTTACGCCCCCGTCATCTCCGCGGAGAAGGCGTACCACGAACAGCTCACCGTGGCGGAGATCACCAACGCCTGCTTCGAGCCTGCCAACCAGATGGTCAAGTGCGACCCCCGCCACGGGAAGTACATGGCCTGCTGCATGCTCTACCGGTAAGGCACCCCCCCCCCCCCCCAGCTCCACTGACAACCCCCACCTCCCCGTCGACAACACTATAACGACATTGTGCCGCAGAGGCGACGTGGTGCCGAAGGACGTGAACGCCGCCATCGCCACCATCAAGACGAAGCGCAGCATCCAGTTCGTGGACTGGTGCCCCACCGGCTTCAAGGTGGGCATCAACTACCAGCCGCCCACCGTGGTGCCCGGCGGCGACCTGGCCAAGGTGCAGCGCGCCGTGTGCATGCTGTCCAACACCACGGCCATCGCCGAGGCCTGGGCCCGCCTCGACCACAAGTTCGACCTCATGTACGCCAAGCGCGCCTTCGTGCACTGGTGAGTACGCAGTACGTGCGCCGCCAGCAGCCATCGCTCACGCGCTCGCGACGCTTTGTCCGCCCGACAGGCAGGCAGCCCAGCCGGCGCGGGTGTCTGCCGCGCTGCCGCACCACCGCCGTGGAGCGCTCCCCTCTGCGCTTCCGCCGCCGCCGCTTCCTGTCCACTAGTAACGCCACGGCAACGCTCTGTTCGCTCCTGCTCCAGTTCCGCACCCCTCGTTCGTTTTCGCCGCGGCCCTACGACGGGTCCTCATTTCCGGTCACAGCTCAATCCAGAGGGTCGTTCCCGCCGCCCACCGTGCTGCCCCTGCTGCCCCTGCTGCCCCTGATTCCCCTCTCAGGGGTCCTTGCTCCCTCGGCCAGGCCAGGCCAGGCGGCCAACCCACCCCCACCCTCTGCCTCCAAGCAACCACCGCGAACTCGTGGAGTCACGGATGATTGATTTTCTGATCTCCTTGTATTGTAGAGGTCGCGCCTCGGCTTTGGGAAGGCAAGGCAAGTGAGTGCAGCAGACCCGAGATGCTTGAACCCTCGCTACGTGCAAGGCGCGGGCACTGTGACTCTTGACATGGATTACAGAGGAAATAGAGAATTAGTCGTGCTTCCGAAAAATTATTCGGATATGTAGTGGCGCACACGTTGCGATGGTGTTGCCATGAGAAGCTGTTAATTCCCGCACCCCTACTTCACCGGTTTGCCGGAAATGCTGCCAAATCAGTGAGTCTGCTGCGCTGCAAACAGACTTCCCTCTTGTGTCCGGCTCGTCTCTCCTCACTTCCGTCTCGGGCCGCGATGAGTCCCCCCGTCCCCCCCCC